TTATTTTCCCTACTGCCAAGCCCTCTCTGCTGTGCTAAAGCCCTAAATAAAGCAAGTCTAGATTTCCGCAGGTTCTGAATCTCTGGTCTCCCTAGGGCTCCTTTTCAATATAAATGGGCTTGTTTGTTACTATCAAAATTATATATATTCAGAGACTTAGCCTTAGTCTAGCGTGTGTCCGTGCGTCTCCGTAAATGTGTGTGTGAGAATGTGTGTGTATGTGTGTGCATTCTCAGGAAGTCTACATTGAAAGTACATTTTTCTGTATATCGACGCAATATATAAATATGGAGGCTAGGCCCCATTGGACAAATCTGCATTTGTACAATCCTTCTAACCTGTCCACTACCCCTTTCCAAAATGGGGTATGTTAGAGGACGACATTGGACATTGCGACACGAGGTGCCCCTAACATGTCATGATAAACTTGCAGAAACAGATAAACACCACAGACTAACAAATTTCGAAAGGTATGTCCTCTTGTTAAATATCTTCCCACATCCGATACCGGAATTTAGAACAACCAGTCATACTTTGCACGTGGACACAATAGCCCAGAGGGAAGACAGATCTGTTCACCAGATAATTCAACATCATTACTGTGGGAGATTAAGATCTATAACAACCTTGATGGGTTCCATATGTGTACCTAGGTGCGCCTTATGTCTATATATAACAAACGTTATAGCCAAACTAACTGATTCACCTATGACATTTGTCAAACATGTATTTCGTTCGCAACAGGATACTGAATTGGCGTTTCTCCTGTTATTTAAAACGGAGTTTACATGTACGTCTTTTTGTGTTTGTTCTATAACAGACGAATAGGCTGGAATGACTTGGCATAGCCCATAAAGCTGTGATAATCTGTAATAAGAGTATAGTGGTAAGAAAATATGGTATGTGGTTACAACTATTTGTTAGGACTGTTAAGTGGTCAAAGCTACATGTACCTGCTATATCACCTACTGATGTAGAGCACCAGGCAACAATCTACTGTTAAGGTTTCATAACATCATGACATGATACTTGCAGAAATATGAAATATATAGATATATATATATATCTGAGTCATACGTACAGAATTGAAAAGGCTTAGATTACAAAACTAAATAGTTCCTATACATTTTTATACTTTTGAATGATATGATGCTAATTGTCCTCTCAAAAAAAGTAGCGCAGAAAACCATGAATAATGAAATAAATTATGATGTAGATACATATATGACATGTGTATTTACAGATTTGCGGCTTAACGAAACATATGCATTTCGTTGATATTTTAGCCCAAAGGTTAAACCCAGTCGTGGCATAAACTTAGCAGTGTGTTAGAAGAATATCGAGTGAACATATACAAGAGAAATATTAATTAAGAAATAATCTCTTTACCCAACTTCACAGGGGATGCTCACGAGGAAATATGAAATAGACAACATAATGCAATAAAGCACATAAATCTGTTTGACAGGTCTATTATGGAAGCCCATTTCTGTGAAAATTGAGTACTTGAAAACTTCAGAATATTCAGGTATATAAGGGTGTTCAGAAAGATTCTTGAGATGTTGTGTACGGAGATAATTCTGTTGAGTAGGTTAATTACCATACTCCAGATACCTCCCTCCACAAGGTACTGTAGCTCACCTGTAGGCCATCCTCGGTATGTGACTGACAGTCACATCTACCACATCTTTCTTCTATCGTGCGAACGGTTTAACCAGGAAATTAATGTGTTAATGTTACATTAAGCGTTTAAGGAGTAATTACCCCGTAACACCTGTATCCGTCCCGAGTAAGATTAACTCATGTAGGTGGCGTGTGAGTCGCTAATGGGTATGTTAACACATGCTTATGATAAAGTCGGAATCGTGATAATAGTAATTAAAGTGCACATCTCTATTGTGCACACATCCACACTCGCTGGCGTGCTCATGGCGTTGCATCTCAAACACATATCTACGTTTGTACAGTAAACAGTGAGACTGATGTCTATGTGTAAACAGTGAGACTGATGTCTATGTGTAAACAGTGAGACTGATGTCTATGTGTAAACAGCGAGACTGATGTCTATGTGTAAACAGTGGGACTGATGTTTATGTGTAAACAGTGAGACTGATGTTTATGTGTAAACAGTGGGACTGATGTTTATGTGTAAACAGTGGGACTGATGTTTATGTGTAAACAGTGAGACTGATGTTTATGTGTAAACAGCGAGACTGATGTCTATGTGTAAACAGTGAGACTGATGTCTATGTGTAAACAGTGAGACCGATGTCTATGTGTAAACAGCGAGACTGATGTCTATGTGTAAACAGTGAGACTGATGTCTATGTGTAAACAGTGAGACTGATGTCTATGTGTAAACAGCGAGACTGATGTCTATGTGTAAACAGTGAGACTGATGTCTATGTGTAAACAGTGAGACTGATGTCTATGTGTAAACAGTGAGACTGATGTCTATGTGTAAACAGTGAGACTGATGTCTATGTGTAAACAGTGAGACTGATGTCTATGTGTAAACAGTGAGACTGATGTCTATGTGTAAACAGTGAGACTGATGTCTATGTGTAAACAGTGAGACTGATGTCTATGTGTAAACAGTGGGACTGATGTTTATGAATCACAGCACGCGCAAACGGGCTGGTTTTCAAGGCACTCACAGTTTTAGAAGCAGTTCCACAGGATCGTAGAATGCTCTCTGTCGTTGGTAGACACTTGTTGTAAGAGAGAGAGATGAGAGAGAGAGAGAGAGAGAGAGAGAGAGAGAGAGAGAGAGAGAGAGAGAGAGAGAGAGAGAGAGAGAGAGAGAGAGAGAGAGAGAGAGAAAGAGAGAGACCGAAATGAAATCCAGTCTCCACTTATCCCCTATGTCAGTGGGTCGATAGCCCATGTCGGCATCAGTCACCTTCCGGACACCCCTGAGTCATTTTATTCATTGCATGACATATCAGCATGCGTCACAGAGCGGTGATATCAAGCTGTCTTACGAATTATCACAATTACATGAACATATTCAAACTGAAAAAATATGAAAATTGTATATAAATATTTCATACCCCATTTGCATTATAATATATTTCACTACGCGCAGATATCTATATAGCATTGACTGTTGTAGACAAAAAGCCTGATCTTTGAATGAACATTTTTTACAGGGTTCAGCATTCCTTCACGGAACTGCGTATTTCCTTTGTACACGTGTCCCTCATTGCCATTTCCCAAACCTCGACAACGTGCGAAAACCAACGTACCGAGAGGTGTAATACCTGCACGTACAGTAATACACGTGGAGATCAAGAGAGTGAATTAGCTTTTCATTCTTATTTTCTAAATATACACAAATGTAGGTAGACAGTATTGACAACACGCCGAACACACTGCATCGAGTTGGAAATAACTTGTAAGAAACGCGAGACACCTTCACAAATTACCTCGTGGTTTATCCTAACATCTTTGTCCAAATATCAAATCATGTGTTAGTGGAACAATTACTATAACCAGCTGCAGCGGTAACGCTTGTGAATCAGCAACGTCGTCTGGAGACACGCTACAGCAGCAACGAGGCCCTTAATGCAATTTACACAATTGAAGGTCTTGTCATGTCAGGTGTGTTCACACAAGTATGCGCGAGGCAGTAGCGCCAGAAATATCTCCAGGGACTAGTCACGGTAAAATGATGCTGAACTTGTTCCAGTATCACAAACATGCTCCCCTCTCACGGAGACCCATCTCCAAGAAATTGCATTCCTCACCCAGCCCCGTCATAAAAGAATATATGCCATATATGTAAAGGACTGATCAGTCCAAATTATCTGCCGTAGAAGATTCTATTAGTATAACCGGCAAAACAGTGATGGCAATTACAGGAATGCATCACTAAAAGTTAGTGATGACATTGTGTCAATCTCGGAATTACACCTGCTCTGACTGCTCTATTAGTTTTTCCACAATATAAGAAAAAGTTTCTTTGATAAATAACGCCGCTTTGCAGTAAAAATGCTTGGGATCACGTCCTGTAAAAATCAAATCTTGACCAGCAACACCCAAGCATAGATCTACGCAATTCGGATACGATGACAAGAACATATTATAAGTGAAACAGAAATAAATAAACCCACAAAACAACAAAAAATCCAAAACAAAAGAACATAATTTTCATATCGACAAGTTGGTGGTAGTTGGGAGGAAGGCGTTAAGACGAAAAGAAACCACTAGATACATCTGCTCCCTGTCACGGCGTGTTATTCAGAATCATTAAATATAACACACAACATAAATAAAGCCGTCAATATAAACATAATTGCAATGCGTTGATTTAATCAGTTCTAATATAAATAGCTGCCTATTTGCCATGCTTCTGTAGCACTCAGCAATGCAATACCGTATTAAAACGCATCATTGAAAACCGAAACATACTGCTTCAATCTAGCATATTAGTAATTAACACCTGTTATGTAATTACCTGTAATATTATACAGTTAATGAGGATGGCAATTACTACGATTATAAATTAAACAGAAAAAAGGAAGTTGCAGCAGTTTTAGTAGGTAACCGAAGCATTAAGATGAGTTAGTGATGTTGCTCAGACGTATCAAAACATCATGTAACGATATCAAAATTTATCATCTGTAGCTTAATCAACCTGCATGGTAAAGATACACAGCTACCAACAACATGTTAACTATAACAAATATTCCAAAGAGAAATAGGAAGTCAGCGGTAACGTTTTTGGTAAATTTATTGCTCTATAGATATTTATTGTTGCACTATTACTCCATGTACAGAACTAGAATGTATTAAACTATTAAAAACATAAACTCTGTAATGACAATGAGTTTGATGACACTGTTGATGAAGAAAGCATGCCATCACCGTACCAGCGGGATCAGGACCTTCAGCAATAAGGCTTGCTTCATTACCATGCAATAACTGGATCAAGTTTATAGAACCACCATATAGCTCGGTGTTTGATTAAACAGAACAGAGGCGCCACAATTGCATACCCTTCTTTCCACTTGCATTCTGGGAACCTGAAGCAGAAAGTTATATGTTGGGCCTTATTATCTTCATGAACAAATCATGAACTGATCTTGTTCATGTTTTTATCCAGTGAGGCTCTTCACTCAATACAAAACCAGGGAAACAAACCCGGGAATCCTGCATGACGAGATGACGCTTTATCCACTGGACTAAGTCGTCGCTCCCAATATCATTAGAACATATGTGGTGTAAAGATACAGTTGGTTATGAAATGCAACAAGTTATATATAATGACATGCCACGAAATATGATCAAACCTTGCAAATTATTGATGAAGGAAAGAAAGTTAACTTAGTGAGAAAGATTACTTGCATTTAATCTGACCTATCATTATGTTAATACTCTCTGATATTATACACGCCCAGATATCTGGTAACATGGTAACATTTCTGATAACAGTCGTGTTGACACTCCCATCAAATCACAGGATGAACATCTAATCAACTATATTGTATGTCTAAAATCAAGACTGAAGGAGGTATATAAAGTGCAAACAACTCAGCGTGTTATACGAGTCCACTGAACCTGAAATGGCCGCCTCATGTAAACACTGAAAGCAAATAAACATCACCATAAGTTAATTAAATACACATACAGTTGGAAAAAGTCATCCCGCCTATCACTGCTGGTGAGCATCATGGAAACGTGGGTCCAGAGGCTGCAGTGGACAGAACGTACTGGGAATGCATTGCATTAATCAATAAGAGTAACAAACTTTCAATCATTCCCGGGACACCCACAGTTCGACCTCTTCGTGGCCTCCTGAATTCTATATATAATACCTATGGTGCCTGGAAAGTAACAACTTAATCCACTTGGTGCTGGCTTCAATGGTTGGATGACGATGATAAGAGCCATCCATCGTGATTATCCTACTTCAGTCATCATTAGGAATAAATATTTCCCCCATTGGCCAAATTATGCCTTATCTGGAATCTCATGTGATAGGCGATGGATCGGTTAGGGGATAACACGCCCCATGTGTGAAGAACTGAAGGGCTTGTGTGGTGAATCTTTTGTCTTAATATACCAAGTGATATTGGAAACAGAACTGGTATTAATAACAGAGGGTTGGTTAAACGTCGGCATGGCTAGCATTACGCAGGTAGCATTCCAATTATACACTGACGTGTCGGCTTAATGCTTGAGTGTAGTAATGGTGCCTGTCGTATATTATTACACTTTAAAGAATCCTTTGAGTCTATGGTACTGGCAAACCTAAGACTGCAGCACCAGAAGGTACTTGATTCAGTGCATCATTTCCTATCGTAAACAGATTAATAGATTGAGCAGTTTGAAGTCAAATGTATCATCATTTGTCTCAAATTCATGTAACTAATGACATATGTTATCAGGTGAACAAAGTCCTTGTTGTTTCTATATTAGCAATGTCAGTATTGCTGAGCAAGCATAATCTGTTTGAGTAAGGTAAAGAAGGACACTAACGTAATTGTTTGAGAACAACTCACAACTCATTCTCAGACAAGGACAAACAAACAGATACGTCTGTGATAACTGTTCCATGTATAAGCACACGTACACATACTATAGGAATAAATCCTTATCACAAGCAGATAGGCACATGAAAGGTTACAAGGCAACACCCAGTATTACAAAGACATCCTTCTGAGTCTACAGACGGGCACCTGCACCCCCCATCCTTCCGTTACACTGCAGCTCGCGTTACCATCCACCATCAAAGACAACAATCTGTCGGTGTAGGACCAGAGTTGAAGATGCTCCGTGGGGTCAGGGGGTGGGGGTAGGAGACGGGGTGTTTTTTTCACACGTACATTTGGTGGTGAAGAAGGTGATGCTATGCATCACATGGAACGAAGAATTCGGTTATGTAGGTATAACCTTTACTTATATTTATACAACAATAGCTTACTGTAGGAGCATCACAACCACACATTGACGCTAAAGCACGGGATGAAAACCTCTTACCACCATATGCGCTGACAGAGTGTGTACATATTCTGGTGATATAAGGTACCCTTATGTTGCATCCCGTGAGTGGGAGGAACACTGTAATGTTGACTGGTAACGTCATTGGGGTTGATTATTAATCCCAATATGTTGCTACAGAAAAGGACTTACTGACTAGCAGAAACATACAAACTCAGCATTTACTGTGTCTTTATTACAATACATGAACCAAACAGGTGTTTCTGTAAGAAGTTTTATTCATTGCAATTATAAGGATTATGTTATCAGCTAGTTTCAATGGTGTTGGTGAGAGAGTGGGAGAGTATAATTTTATGCCGCATTTCAAAGCAAACCTCGGCGTCAGAGAGAGGGAGCCAGATAGGGGCTGCCAAATAATAGCCAAGGGAAAAATCAAACCTCTGCCTAATGTACTGGTGACGACACTTATAATCATAACAGCCACAACAACAACAACAACAACAACAACAATTAAAGCATTCATGTTGATAAACTGGGTTTCAAACTGAGCAAACTGAAACAGGATATATCCTGTATAAACTTTGCTTGACATTAGGTTCAACAGTGTAATCAATAACATTGCGTTAAAAATTAATTGTCCAAAAATTACAAATTAAATATTAGACACTTGCTCCATTGAAGGCAAATTTGGATGGAACGGCGAAGGAAGTGGGGAAAGAAATCTCATAAAGAGAATAAGACGTTCAAAACTGATGAACACAAATTCTAAATCCAGCTAAATGCAGCCAAATGGTTTTGGAAGGAGTCGTGGTCTCTACCGGACATCAGCAACCTTGAGAAACCATGGGCAGAGGATCAAAACGATGATGTACATGACAACATATATTCGACTGTCTCAATGTAACTGTTCCCTTGGGTCCAGACTCCTTTACCTTACTGTTCACAATCTCTTACTCATGTTTCGCCTTGGGTATGCAAAGGTCGAATAATAGATCTTGTGTTATCATAAATCATATGATATATAAGGAGCAGGAAAAAGGTCAGAAACATATGTTGTGGTTGCAAAGATCAATTGTTTAAACCAATTATCTTTGAAGAGGAAAAAAACTTACCACCATGATCTCTCAATGTGTAGGATAGACTACAGAACCACTTATGATTCTGTACCTCACGAATGGATATTAAGGCTATCAAAATGTATTGTCCTCCCTGAGCGATTAGTTGTGTTATGTGTTGGCCAGGGCTCGATTATTTACCAACCGCAGCCATATAGTTGGAATATTGCTGTGTGCGGCGTTAAACAACAAACAAGAGGAAGGCTATCACCCTCATCAGGACAGAATCACAACACCTCTTCAGCTTCTTTAGATATATGACCTTGGACGTCTTGCCAATGGAGAATGCACACTGAAAAAACAGAGTGTCCTTGTACCGTCTTTTTCCAATGACACTACCGTGTACTTTGGTCTCGACAAATGGAACATTCTTCATCTGATAGACGGAGGATCAGTCTGTTTTCTCGGCGGAAGGGCTATTGATCACCTCGTGGAAAGTCCTGGCCTATACGTACTTTGGGAAACAGGTGAAAGACATACTCCAGAATGACAATATAGAGGACAAACTTTGGGTAGACTACAACTTACGACTCTGGAGTTCTAAGCTGAACCCTCGCAATACTGTTGCTGTTGCCGGCCATTCTTAATCTGTTGGTGTTTTTGATTAGACGGAGCAAGAAATTCAGGGTATTTACACCATGAATCATGTCAAACATTGGATCCCATCACCTTCATTCGTCCTAAAATTACATATTATACTGGGCTGGGAGGGCGTAGTTGATCGACGTAAACCTCTCCATGAGAGAATATGTGTGCACTTTGCCACACATGTGCTTGTCAGATGATCTTAAAAGCATGCCAAGGCTCATGATGAGGGTATTTAACAATTTTGGCAAACAAGCCAAAGGACAAAATCTCAGTGTCAGTGTTGGTTCTGAAGAACTGCTGGACTGTACACAAATAAGTGATAACCGAGGGAAGTGTCATATCAGAGGCACAGGCTGAGGTTTACAAGGGAAGGGTTGCACGACCACTGCACCAGTTTATGTGCACTGGACTGGAAGTGAATGCATGAAGGCGGCTGGCCTGAAAGGTGCAACAAAATGCGTTCTCTTGGTGCACCACCACCGTATGATCTTTCATCAAATCTAAGTATATAATGTACAAATCTAATGTACATTATGCAATGAATGTAATGGAACTGCCCATCAGTCTCGGTGGACGTCAAACGTTGACAAGGTATCCGAAGCGGCATGAGGGCTTGGCATGACCCACTTTTTCACCGTCTGCTTGTGTTTTTGAGGTTCATTCATGGTAAGACCCAAAATATGTAGATATCGTCATGACAAATGATACTGATAAGTAATATTCTTCGGAATATTTTTCAGACGTATTCAGGTCAACAAAACTGCAGTCTACAAATCCTCCGGTAATTTCTTCGTGGGTTCCTAAAAGGAGCGCTTCCAAGGAGTCCCTTTGCTGTTTTGGCTGGTGGGCTGGTTTGTTGTTTGAAGCCAAGCTCAGCAATATTCCAACTACATAGAGGTCGCCTGTAAATAATCGAGTCTGGACCAGACAATCCAGTGATCAACAGCATGAGCATCGATCAACCAAATCAGCGAGCCTGACCACCTGATCCCGTTAGTCGTCTCTTACGACAAGCATGGGTTACTGAAGACCTATTCTAACCTGGGTCTTCAGGGGTTTGCTGTTTTGGCTGCAGTAAAGGGGCATGGGCCCTGATGAGGAACCTAACCTAGTCCGCGCCCTCTTTGTAGCAATTATGCCATTCACACTCTCCGTGTCACTGTGAGATGTACAATTAAAGCTGCCTGGCATACATGGACAGATTCAATCAACGGCGTATTGAAACAAATGTGAGCATGCAGACTGAACCACACTGAAAACAAACATCAGTCACATCAAACACATGAATCCACACAGCCTTTCTGAACAAAGCACCAACGGGCAGGCAGCCAGGATGAGGCATATCACGTATGACAAAGTTGATGTTCAACCTGCAAAGTCAAGTGCTCTTTGGCAGAGCACGTACAATTTTCTCTGACTTAGACAGAGAACGCGGGCCTGCACGAATACCTGCTGGAATACCTGCGGTAATACCTGCAGGAAATAACTGCGGGGATAACTGCGGGAACACCTCAGCATCCTCGACATGATGGGCAAGCATGCCACTTCATTCAATGGAAACGAAACAGGCAAAAAGTTGTTAAAACACACTAGTCGTGTAGTTGGTGCCTATGGCTTGGAAATGGTTTATCTCCTATTTACCGTTTACGGGACAAAAACTTTGTTTGTGGCTAAATTTAACCAACCTTAAATGTTAACAGTAACGTTCTTGTTTGGTCATAAATGTTTCAACGCAGTTTCGGTTTAGTATCTGTTCTTTGTACCCTGTATAATGATAACAGATGAAGTGGTGAGCTGATGAAGAGTTCCACACTGCCATGGAGGTACTCTACCATATTAGCATACCAAGATTAAGTATCGTGAACCTTTCTACTTAGCAATTATAGACTTGCTGATTGTAGTATTTGTATATCAGCAATGTGGACTCGTTTAACAGTACAAGATGGTAATACGTACACATTAATGCATCAGTGAAGCTTACAAGCGATATTATATCATTCTCACAGCAGACATTTTCATACAAGTAGTTTCATGGTTAATGTGGTATTACTTTGTCTATCTGGACTAGACAATGCAGTGATTCGAGTGTTAATGTCACTGTATTCAACTCAAAATGAAGACTTGTCCCTGAAAGAAACAATGGATATTGTTGACATGCTTTGCAAGACACTATCAGTGGGGGTGTTTGCGAAGATGCTAAAGTATTTTCTGAGGGATGACATGCTACTGCAGCAGCCGTGACTACATTACAACGTGTTCTACATCTCCACAGTACGCGGCTGTGGTACTGAGGGCTGGCAGGTGCTCCTGATGTTGGACCAGTTCCACAGTGGCTGTCATGACAACACAGATGGTTTAGCACGTAACCCATGCTATTGTACCAATCTAAGTCGTAGCAAACTGGGGTAGGGGAGCACAACCCTGTCTTGCGTGTGGAAATTCACCGTAACAAAAATGAATCAATAAGATGGTGAAGGTGCTATACAAAACAACGTAAGACTTCATACGTAAGCTATGTTGGCTCGAAGACAAAACAGCATTTTAGCTCAGAAATTATTTCCTTCGTTTTCGTATAACCTTGAGTTTTTTCTCTACGCCCAACACTGATATGTATCAACGTATATCACAAAGGAGACAGACACATCCATACAACAAAAAGTATCATTGACAATATTTCTGTAAAGACATGCCAGTGCTTTACACTAGAAATGATAGCCAAAAATAGCGGGAATATATGACATCAATAGCTGAAAATATAAATATATATGCAGTAGACATATCTATGTGACAGTTGAGTGTCACATGTAGCTTTTTATCACCTACTTGCATCACGAAAATCCTCAGCTTGATGGTCCGTGCAGTGCAGAATGATGACAAAGTTTTCAGGTCGATGAATATAATCCTTGTACCCTGCAAACAGAACGCCATTGTCCAGTGTGATTTGTTCAAAGAAAGACACCGTGGTAAAGTTGGAAGAATGTGTGAAAATCAAAAGGTTTCATTTCATTAATGGAAGGACAAGTGAATACTTCACCGAACTAAACAATGTGATGAGGTAAAATGGGGTTTAACGTCGCACTTAAGAATATTTCGAACATATGACGACGTGTATGCGTGTGTATGTGTTGCTGCTTGTACTAGCCCATACTTAAGCTGGTTTTATAGTGCGAGCTCATTAAGATACCATGCCGCAGTTAAGCATGAATATCCCACTCAGACACATTACACTGACTACGAGCCGACCAGTCCTTGTTGTACCAATTAACACCGAGCGCCAGGCAGGGAACAACAAGTACCATATTTTAAATGTCTTTTTGTATGACGCGGATCGAACCCGCGACCTTCCGCTCTCCGGGCGGACGCTCTAACCACTACACCACGGTGGCGGTTGAACTAAACAAGGGAACTTATGGTACAAACTATAATAGAGAAATGAATAGGACATCATTTCTGTTACTGATACGTCAAATATTATTGTCCCCCACATGTCTACCACAGAACATATTGGAATGTGTGTCTTGTTGTTTAACGCCGCACGCAGCAATATTCCAGCTATCTGGCGGCATAAACAAAAATATATCGGAAGCTTTATTGTCGAGTAATATTCCAACGGCTTGGTGTCTGTGTATCAAAACCTTTGGGGTACAATGGAGCATGGTCTTTTAATAAAGATTTCAAAGAGCTTCTTCGACTCTTGGTCAGAAATTCTTCGATCAAGGTTAAAACATTCAAACCTCAGTGACGTAAAAGCATTCACAAGTTTTGTTGGTAGACATGTGGAGGGAAGTTCAAACTCTGGCTCATCGGTGATAAAAATGATGCAATTCCCGATTGTTAAATGTACTATACGTTCCCGATGTGCTTTTCAGGTGAACGATTGACTAGTCTTTGCATGTGTTTATGATAGGTGTCACCGGCGGAGCGGGATACGCTCACATTTTCGCGAAGATCTGGCATGATTCATAAACACATGCTCACGGCGTAGTGGGAACTGTAAATCGAGAATTCTTTTTGCAGATATTTTCTAATAAATGTGGAAAGGGTTATGCTACTCATATTTAGTGTAACTCTTATAGAAATAAATAACTTGTATGACGGACAGGTGAGTCTGTTACCATTACATTATCGTACACCGGGAAAATAGTGACTGAGTGAGTGAGTGTTATTTTGCGCCGCTTTTAGCACTATGTCAGCAATATCACGGCGTGTGTGTGTGTGTGTGTGCGTGTGTGCGTGCGTGCGTGTGTGCGTGTGCGCACCAGAAATGGGCTTCACACGTTATCTCCATGAGTGGAATCTTCGGCGTCAGACTCACAGAACAGATCTACCATCTGGGCTATAGATACGGAACAGATCTACTACACCTGAAGCGCTAATTGCCCTGTTAGAGCTCGCCATTTATAGCGTAATACATCGTTATAAACATCCTCAATCAGACGCAGTCGGGATGTTTCAATCTTACAGAAGCACACCGTTTTAAACATTTCCGAACATCAACACACGTGACTGCCATTCACCGTCCGGAAATGTCTGTTTTTATATCTAGTGATGATTATGTGTATGTACCTAGAGACTGGATGTTGTTGATGAGGCTGAGGTAGAGGTCACTGTGACACTGACGTCGAAGCCAACAGAAATATGACTCGCCATCACCTTAAGGTAGTTGACATTTGTGTACAGGAATATGTTTTGCTTCATATTTATATGGTAGCTCGTTAAGGCCTTCGCCATGTCGCCCCGAAGAATTCACGTGATATCGTGATAAATCGATGTTACAGCACGATATAACGATATCGGGATATTGCAATAACACGCAGCGACAAAGCGATATTACAACACGATATAACGATATCGGGATATTGCAATAACACGCAACGATAAAACGATATTGTGACAAGACAACGAAAAGGCGATATCGTAGTATCGTACTAGGAGCGGTGGGGTAGCCTAGTGGTTAAAGCGTTCACTTGTCTCACCGAAGACCCTGGTTCGATTCCCCGCATGGGTACAATGTGTGAAACCCATTTCTGGCGTCCACCGCCATGATATTGCTGAGAATATTGCTAAAAGCGGTGTAAAACCACTCACTCACTCACTCGTATCGTATGGTACTATCGCTTTGTCATGAAGTCACGTAGATCTATATGTAAGTAACTATAGTGATGGCCCAAATCAGCTACCATATATTTACCTTCAGTGCATTGTGTGTTTGAAAAACTAACAACTGCTTCAAGGATCTGTTTTCGTTGTTACAGCAGCGATTTAAAATATGCTTGAAATGGCAAATGTGTATGCATTCGTTTGCATTCTATATACGCAAAAACACCACGTGTTAAAACATGTATAAATCAGTAATAGCTGACAAGTGTTTATATAGTTGTGATTATTTGGGTTTTATCACCTTAATACGAAATTATGTGTTTATTAAAGGATTATCATTATTGTGTTTAAAGCTAACTATCGTAGCTGGGTAATTGGGAAGATAAATACATGTACTTAAATAACTAATCGTTACCTTACACCATCAAGCACGGCGCTGTTCATCTCTGTAACGCTACATTTTCATATCCAGTAATCACTCTAAACGATAATGTATTTCAGTTTAATGTATTGGCTTACACGTTAACACAACCTCTGAATCCAATCCTATCATACGCATCTTAAATCATAATTAGCGTGCTGTGATGATACAAAGTGCACTCCACAACACTTCCATCTCCGTGGTATCTGCCCGAGACCAGAATATCAGTAGCTCGATACTGTGGCCGCACAATATAAACAGAATGATGTTAGAATATGGTAATTGTTGTTACTGTTGCATTAGGGGATAAAACACGGGCTCGGTAAATTGTGCCTGAGTAGGGTCATCCATGCTAACCTCTGGCATAGAAGTTCTAGAACTTCATTGGGTTACCTCGCTTAACTGCCATTAATCCGGACTGGAGAACGCAGACGCAGATGCGCGCACACCAACATACGGAGAGACAAACACACAGAGATATTAGGAGAGAGGGACATATATAGCTGTATGCTGGTAAAAATCTTCACCACTAAATTTAACCCCACTTCATCTAACCTCCGGAAGCAAGTACATTCGGTAACTCCCTGCAGTCTATCGCGATATTTACCTTCTTGTACAAAATATAAACACAGTGCTTTCTTGTCGCTGATGTGCTAACCTGATGCTAGGTTCTGGGAGCGCGTGAGTGTTATTCCCCGCCGTGCCACGGGGAACGGGGGCTTTACTGAAGGCAAAATAGCTGTATGGTAAATAAATTAACACCTGATGATTGGCATTTGTTCTGGATAAACACTATCAAAGCCCTCGGCGTTAGACTGGAGAGTTTCTTTTCAAAACCAGTACATCCAGAGTATTTCACAGATGAAATGTTTTATATGGTTTATTAGACCTTAGTCAGTGTTCCTATCTGTGTAAAATCATTTACCTTCTTTATAAGTTCAAAGGGTTTTTTTGCATTAAAGAATTGTATGTTTTATATCGGATTTTCTCAATACATGTCTTTCAATGTGGGTAAGTCTAGCTATGAAAAGGTTTGGATGTCTTTTAAGGATTTTAATGCTCAAAGTATAAAAAAATTATAATCTACACCTGAAACGAAATATTACTAAAAAATTTGTTATTATGACGAGGCATGTGGACCAGTTAGTTAATTACTCGTTCTTACTGTTGCCCTGTGATACTGCGACATATCGATCCTACCGCATTCCATACCAGTTGTAAAGCGTTTGAGAATTTTCAGTTTGAAAAGAAGCAAGAATCGATATGTCTGAATTTAAGAAACGTTGCCATCGTTCCAGAAAGATATCTATCGACGTAGACGTACACGCTGTGCATCAATATAAATTGTAAAATGTTGCATCAACTCAGTGATATTTATAAAGTTTTTAAAGTAGCTTCTTTCACGTGTAGTGTTGTCCTGAGTAATATTCAAGAATTCTCCTGATAACAATGCAATCCTCTATCGCACTCACGAGATTGCACCAACTGAACTTAGGTTTAGATATCAAGATATCTTATCATTGAAGTCGGGGTTATGTGTGAGAGTACACATGTACTCAACCATGTCGCAATACATGTATTATCTACAGAACAGAATAAACATATGACTACTGCGTTAATGGTGATAGTGTTACTACACGGAACTGATTGCGTCCGGTGCTCTGCGGAGATCCCGTTAGCTGAGTGGCGCCACATAGTGCCAGGTGTTGCACAGGTGTGCAGGTGTCATGAGAACAAAGAGGTTGGCGTGTTCTGTATACAGAACATGGCAACAATGCATTACCAATAGGGAGACTGGCACGGATATAATCAGCTGTACCGTTTCGCTCGAATGACACACCTTGCACCTATTACAACGACGCTATATTTGGCAACGTTATGGATGCATGATTGTATATTTCAATCTGAGCAATGAATTATTTGCTATTTGATTTTGAAAATGACACATACAATGAAATCCGTTATTGTGGTGTCTGTTTGTCAAGAAATCCGCGACAAATGCAGTTGAGAGTGAGTGGGTGAGTGAGTGAGTGGTTTAACGCGGGTTTAAACGGTATTTCCATATCTCGGCTCAACAGGTTTATCTCAGAAGAAATGGAATGCATGTTGTAAAGGGTTACTACTTGAAACACACAACTACGGGTATGGTACTGACAGACTTAAACAGAGATTAAGGTAATCTTGGAATCGAACTCACGATCACAGATGTCGAGACAACTGACAACAATTAATCGCGACGCCTGGGCCACCTATACCACCATTATCAAAATGACATAATCACGTTGTATTTAAACTTAATGGAAACCTGTTGATCTTGGTGTGAACGCTGGCGGCGTTATAACAGGGTTCAACGGGAGTGCACAGAGAATATACGTTTGCAGTGACATTGCATATCGCTCCCAGCTCCTGAAATAGTATTATCCCCAGCCCCAGTGATTAGGTTACATGTAACACCATGTAAGCTGGATACTTACAGTTAAACGCATATTCGGAGAACTCCGTGTTATCAGCAGCTAGGAGGACAATATGGTGGAAGGAGGACATGTCATGTCGCTTGTCCCCAGCCATGTTTCACGGTCCTCGAGATGGTCACAACACTCACAGAAACCGCCAATGAAGATCTCCTACAGCATGAGATGCTGGTATTCCAGTGAGCGTCTTGCAGACAGGAGTATTTTGGGATCGACTGACGAAATATGAAGGAAGCGGTATGTCTCCCAGTAGCTTCCAGCCGACTATGACTCCCACAGCTTCGATCGTGCCTTTTACGCTGAGTAAACGCCGTCAAGGGCAAGGGGTTCGGTGACGTCAAGCGACGGTTAGGGGTTTGAGAATAGACTCGACATCACTGCGTGACGTTAGGGGGCTCTGACGGTGGTGTCGGTGCAGGCTGTGAGATGCGGTGATGCAAGAGTGGCTGGGCTTGCATGTTCAGTAGCAGGAACATGTGGTGTGAGACTGTGTGGGACGGCTTGCCTGCTCCTCATACTGTACAGAGAGCATTTCATCATTTCAAGGGGGAATGTAATACTGTAGAACATTCGACAAGGAGTTGATTGCTAAATGGCGGTCATGTGGTAATGGTGATAAAAACAACAACCATGCCCCTAATCCCCACTCTCATTTTTCTCTTGACCCCCCCCCCCCTCCCCAGACCCATGACAAGACTTGCAATACGATAATATGCAACGTTTAACAGAAGTTTTACAGAATGTCAGCATTTAATATGACTATTGAAAACAGATGCGTAGTTATTTATTAATGTTACTTGTCATTAACTAAAATACACGATAAACTGCTGTTACTACCTCTACTACTACTGCTGCTGCTACTACAACAACTGCTAGTGCTATTATTATTACTACTACTACTACTACTACTACTACTTCTACTACTACTACTACTGCTGCTGCTATACTACTACTACAACTGCTGCTGCCATTACTACTACTACTACTGCTACTACTACTACTACTACTGCTGCTGCTACAGCAAGCTGCTGGTGCTATTACTACTACTACTACTACTTCTACTGCTGCTGCTACTACTACTACAACTGCTGCTGCCATTACTACTACTACTACTACTACTACTACTGCTGCTACTACAACTGCTGCTGCTATTACTTTTACTACTACTACTACTGCTGCTGCTACTACTACTACTACTACGCTTGCAGCTACTACAATATCTACTACGACGTCTGCAGCTACTACAACAACGATACCACCACCACTACAACAACTACTGCTAATACTAATAGCACCACTGCTACCTCCACTATTACTACCACTAACATCAACATAACGACGACGATTAAAACAAAATATTAAACAATAAAATACTCATTGGCTAAATATCTTATTCGAAAGGTATAAATATGTCTGTATTCATTTACATTCTTGGGGTCTGTTACATTTGATTAACTAATATGCAACCGTTTGCTTGGAACTCTAATGCACAACATGCATATATGGACACCGAAATGCATTTTTAATAGTAATTTCTTTTTACTGATATGTATGGAATCCGAGAAGGGACATTGTTGCATTGTCGCGTGTTTTAGGCTGTTTTTACACATCTTACATAGGGCGACGTGCGACAACGCGACATATTTTGACCTTGAAAATTGTCGCTATGACGCGTGTCGCCCTTTGGTGGAATAATTTTTTTTTTATTCAAAACGCGACACGCGACATCGGGACAATGCGACAAATGGGCGAAATGTCGCGTTGTCGCGATGTCGCGTGTCGCGTGTCGCGTGTCGCGTTTTGGTTAATTTAGCCTCATTTTGCTTGTATTTGAGAGGGCGACAACGCGATAATGCGACAACGCGACAACGTCCCTTCCAGGATTCCATAGATATGCAATTTGCGACATAGTTTATTGGTTGAATTAGGTAAACTAAGTCTGAGGCGTGTTGAGGAACGGCCAATATAGTAATAACTCCAAAGTCAAACCCTGTTTAATCCAGAAACTCCACTTTACTGTTCGGAACGCCTACCTATATTCAGAGGATATTCCACGATTGATCAGATCGACTAAAGTGTTCGGATTGCCGAGGGTTTACTTGACATGTAATAGTCAGAGACAGGATGACGACATGTCTGGATGTTCTCATTTCAGTCTAAACTGTGAACAATTGAGGTTTTTAACGGCTCTTTGGTCAATACTGTCGTTATTAAACAACGTGCTTGATGTAGAGTTGTACAAGGTAGGTCACATACTGTTGATGTGGGAAAGTCCAAAGAGACGCAAGGGGTGTCAGCCACAAACGCTGAAACATACACTGAATCTGAATCTGGGATTTGATTGAGAGAGTGAGTTTAGTTTCACGCCGCTTTTATGAATATTCCAGCAATATCAGGGCTGGGGACACCAGAAATGGGCTTCACAGATTGTATCCATGTGGGGAATCGAACCCGGGCCTTCGGCGTGACGCGCGAACGCTTTAACCACTAGGTTATCCCACCGCCCCAAAATGCCGGGTCTTTTCTGGTGTCCCCCCCGATATTGCTGGAATATTCATAAAAGCGGCGTAAAATCATACACACTCACTCAGCGAATATTAACGGCTCATGCAACGGACATAGAGCGTTGTCTCTTTCACGAAGCGAACCCTCTCTACGTCATTTGTCATAACTTTTCAACTAAACTGAGATTGGAAAAAAATATACCAATATTGTTTTCTACGTGATTGAAAATTGAAAGAACTGTTCTTGAATGTTAATATGTACATTTAACCAGCACTTATTACCGCAACAGTTTGTAAAAAGTAAACTGTAACTGGGAAGTTTTGTGTAAAACTAAACTGACTCAGTGAAGCCTGGGATAAAAAACCGTTTGCAACCACATGGCCCCTGTCGTGTTTGAAATGCTTTGGGCCGATTTAAAAAAAAAGAAAGATTTTCAAAGATAAGAACTGTCTGGTATACACATCACCGGTAGTGTATTGTGCCAATTATTTTTATTTTCTCATAATAAATATATACAAAATATTTCAAACCATAAAGCCATGTAGAAGTGTTTTTGAAATTGATTGCTTGGCATCAGTACAGTTCATGTGGTTGGATATGATAACGCCACCAAGATGTTTTCAGTTGAAAAATAGACCTTTGATAAATCCACTGATAGTTGTAGTTTATTTTGCGCCTCAGTGTATAGCACTCTGAGTTTTTAAATAAACATTGCAACAAATCGAACGTAGTTCATGTCATCACATGATGCCAATGACGTCATTGCCGTTAAAATCATAATGTGATTGATATGCCCACAAGCCAGGAGAGCAAGAAGATTTGATGGATCTGATGTACCGGTTTGATGACTGGGTTGCGTGCCGGTGTACCTACTAGCCAGGGTGGAAACTGTTCCTAATTACACCAGGAACTGGTGTCTTGGTACAGACCCGACTATTGCAAGGACGGTGTAGTGTAGATGGAATGTATGACTGCGGTTTTGGAAAGAAAGAAAAAGCTTAAATTGCATATCAACAAGCCCAGCCCCAAATACCTTGCCCCGTCCCCCAATTTTCAATTCAGGCAGCTTTGTGAACTTCGGAGTATTTTACGAGAGCTTCTATGACCGAGTTTGGTATTAGTCTGTTTGGGTCAAACTGATACCGATGAATCACAATCTAACTCCAAAATCGGTTCATGATCAAGAATTCATTTCAAACGCAGAATGAATGAAAACAAGAGACCAACTCTGGGAAAAAGTTCCTTCCAAAATATAAAAGTTTCTTAACAAGCTATCATCATTTTGTTTTGATTTTCCGCGTTTTACCAGGGTAAAGTATCAGTAAACTGTTGCAGGAATAGCCTCAAGGGCGGGAAGCAAATGCAACTGTGACATCACATCAAGCATAGCCAATCGATTTATTGAAACGGTACTTGCGACAATGAAATTCACCTCTGACATCAAATCCATTACTTTCAAAGTTTATGATTTTTTTAAAGGCGACAGTGACTATAGCTCCTGCATCAAACTATTTCAAGGTTTGTAAAGAGATAAATTAGGATGTAACTTCGGGTTACAGATTATGGCCAGTATAGGTGTTTATGCATAGTTGCTTGTACTAGTTCGGACTCCAGTCAGATACCCTGGCACAGTTTAACCTGGATACCTCATTCAGACGCAAAATAGATTATGTCCGGAAAGTGTGTAAAGAGTTACTCAACTTGCCAAAGGCACATATTCATCAAACAAAACTAAAGTCAGGCAATATACCCTTGGCAATCGAGAATGTGATAGCAATTGATTGATTGATTGAGTTCCCCTTATTTTACGATCAACAAAACAGCATGTTTTGGTGCTGGGGTATTGTTGATGTCTGACGTGGGAAATACTAGAAATCATTTAGAAGTATAGTTATATGTCATGTACTACATTCCATTGAAAATTACAAGATAAAATAAAATGAAAAATATGATGGATTCGAACTAGCGATAGCTGCGAGAAAAAATACCCAACCTATCATCGCTGTGAAGTACGAGTTACTTTCCTTAGTGTCACCCGCAGACGATAAGCTACTGGAAAATGGGATAGCATGTGAACGTCATGTAGGTTTGTTCAGTTGGGGCTCTAACATTCTGCACAGTTAGAAAACAACATGCCTAGGAAATCTATATCTCGACATCATGTCAACATCATCCAGAGTGTCGAGCACGTTCGACCTGTCTCTAAATATTCTAGGTCTTCTTTGTTTACGCGTTTTAATCAGTTGCAGTAGCATACTCGTTGACGCCATCTTTGTAGTGTTTACCACCCCTAAAGCATTTACGACAGGTCAATCGGGGTCCTAAATTTTGGGCTGTTTACGGCACAGTGTAAATATACGATGTCTTTGTGAAACGGGGTGAAAAAGTAAGAGGTGGTCTACGACCTGCTTTACGTGGTCGTACCGGTAAGAAGGGCTTTGTAAAACGGGCCCCTGATGCCCAATATGTCTATCATGATGTCATACTTAATATGGACAGTGATAAATGCCTTTACGTGACTTATAAGCTTGTTGCTACACATGTGTTTTGTCAATGACAATGTGAATAATATCACTTTGACACCTATCTTTGTTGCTTAGAGCTTCTGCTTTGTGGAGTAAATTCTGAAACGCTCCTCTCGTTAAATATATTTGTGTTTAATTCAACCTCTTTCGGCGTTGCTTCAGTCATCTTTCAAAATCTTGGTGTACTTTCTGTTGGAGTTTAGTTAAGATGAAACGGAAAATTAGCAAAACATTTTCAAACAGTGATTTTCATCCATGCACCAAACCACCCCCCACTGTATCCATCCATAATTCCTTGTGTCATCTATCATTCCCTGAATCTATTCATCCCTCCCTCCTTTTATCCATCCCTCTTTCCCTGCATCTGGGTACAATGTGTGAATCCTATTTCTCCAGTCCCCCGCCGTGATATTGCTGGAACGTTAAAAAAGCGGCGTAAAACTAAAT